AGGACTGAAGGGGGGCCGGTTTCGAAACGTGAGGGCTTCCTTTCGGCGCCGCGCGCATAATTCGTAGGACGGAGCGCCGCGCAGCAGTGAGGTCCTCGACGTTTGCGGCGCGCCGCGCCCAGTCGTCTCAAGGAGCCGCAAGCGTGTCCAGGATGGGGGTGCTGCGGTTCCTTTTCGAAGCGGGGCTCTCGCCTCAGCATCGAGTCGGCCATGCCCAAACATGGTCAAACAATAGTCGGGGGACGATTTTTCCTACGCGGGGTTTCTTAGAAAGCGTGGGGGGTACCCCCCCGACGGGGGTCAACCTCGCCTCGTCGTCGCGCCGCGGCGCGTGGTGGCTGCCCACGACGGGCAGCCCGCGATGGGGGTCGCCGTCGGACTGTCGGCGGGGGTGACGCCCCCCTGGCGCTTCTCAATAACCTCGGAGTATTCAATTTGTCATTTTTTGATGTTTTAAATTCTAGACGCTTTGCGTATCCCCACTATCTGGCCTGCGGCGCGTTTAGTAGCTAATTAGGCCGCTTCCGTGCCCCGGAGCGCTTCTGACTCCGCTAGCGCTCTCGCTGGTGGACGCGACCGAAAAAGTATCCCCACCAGCCTTGTGAGCTGGCCTTGTGAGCTGGCCGGGCCGGCCTGCTTCGCGCCTTGTAGCTAGTTAGGCTTGTTTCCGCGCCCCGGACAGCTTCTGACTCCGCCTGCGCCTCCGCTCGCGGACGCGACAGAACAAAAAAAGTATCCCCACCAGCCCATCCAGAAACGATGTCCAGGCGAGTGGAGGTGATCAGGGAAGTGCGGCAGCAAAGAGGAGGACGGCCGAACCGTGCAAAGGAGTGAGGAGGAGAAGGAGGAGGTGGATGGATGGATGGATGGATGAGGGAGTGGGAAGAAGGAGGATGAATAGGATGAGGATGAGGAGGAGGTAGGAGGAGGAGGAGTGAGGAGGAGGAGGAGGAGGAGGAGGAGGATGAGAGGAGGGAGGAGGAGGGAGGAGAGGAGGAGGAGGAAGAAGGAGTAGGAAGGAAGGAGGAGGAGCGGAGGAGGGGATGAGGAGGAGAGGAGGAGGAGGAGGAGGAGGAGGAGGAGGAGGGCAAGCACAAGGGCCAGAGGTCTCTTGGATGCCTCTCGGAGCCTCTTGGGGTCTCTCTTGGGCGATTCTTGGTGACCTCTTGGGACGTCTTGGGGGTCTCTTGGCGATCCTGGGGGGCTCTTCGGGGTCTTGGGTGCCTCGGGGGGGCCTGTTGAGGCCGCTGAGGGTCTTCTTGGGGGCCTCCTGGGGACCTCTTGGGGGCCTCTTGGGGCCATCTTGGGGCCATCTTGGGACCTCTTCGGGCCTCCTGGGCGCTTCTTTGTGCCATCTTGGAGCTTCAATTAGGGTTGCCCCCCCAGGAGGCCAAAATAGGGCCCAAACCCTAGTAAAATCAATGATTTTGGCTTCCTCTCCGAGGCCGTTTTGGACGCTCTGACCGCTCGCGGCCCCCCCCCCGTCCAGGTCCACGGGGAGGGGGTAGGGGGAGGGGTAAACCCCTCCCCGAAGGGGAAGAAGGAGGGGTGGAAGAGGAAACGCCCTAAACCACCGACGCCCAGAGGGCTGGTGGGATTTTCTGCCAAAATTCGCGTATAGGAGGACCTGCCCGACCTAACCTTGGCACCCCGCGCATTCCGCTAAGAGCTTGCCACGGGGCCAAGGGGTGGACGGGGGAGGGGCCGTTCTCAGAGCGGGGCTCCCGCCTTGGCGCCGCGCATCCCCATCGCCAAAGCCTGCAGTCAGTATCGTTTGACCGATCCCCATCCCCATCCCCATCCCTATCCCCCTCCCCATCCCCACCACCATCCCCATCCCCGTCCCCGTCCCCCTCCCCATCCCCATCCCCATCCCACCACCACCCCCCTCCATATCCTCATCCCCTTCCCCATCCCATCACTATCCCCATCCCCATCCCCATCCCCCTCCCCATCCCCCTCCCCATCCCCAATCAGTATCGTTCAACCGATCCCCATCCCCATCCCCTTCCCCGTCCCCACCATCCCACCACCCCAGCTGAGGCTATGCGCCCCGGAGCTCGAAGGGAACGGCCCATAACCCCCATCAAGGGAGGCACACCGGCCGGTGGTGCCCAGGCCACGCCGGTGGAGGTAGGGATCTGTAAAAGGATGCTCGTGCAACGCTTTTTACGGTTGGCGGGCGGTTCCTCTTTGGGCCGTTCTGGATGGGGTCTCTTTTGGGCCTCGTGGGGGCCTCTTAGGGCCCTCTTAAGGTTCGGATTTTCGGTTCGTGTTCCCTCTCTCGGGCCCCTTTTGGGGCCGTCTTGGGGCCCTCTCGGGCCGTCTTGGGCGCCTTTTGGGCCGTCTTGGGGTGCTCTTAGGCAGTCTTGGGGCCCTCTTAGAGGCCTCTTGCGCCGTTTAGGGGTGCTCTTGGGGGCCTCTTGGGTCATCCTGGAGCGTGGCAAAGTCGAAAAGGAGGGAACGCCCAAATCCTTCAAACACGTAGGACAAATCAATGATTGCGAAGGCCTTACGGCCGGTGCCGCCGACCCTGTTCGCAATGCGCAGCAAGAGGCACGGGCTGTGGGATGGTTTTGGGGAACGGGGAGAAGGACGAGAAGGTGGGGGAGGGAGGTGTCGTATCTGACCCGGGACTTCCCCGGGACTCCCCGGGACTCCCCCGGGACCCCCCCCGGGACCCCTCTCCCCCCCCCGTCGGGGAAGGGAAAGGGAAGGGGCTTCCCTTCGACTCAACCGACGTTGCTCAAGGTCGGTACGGGGGGGGGGCCGTATCTCGGGGGGGGGTCGCTAAGGAATGAAAGGGAAGGGGCTTCCCTTCGACTCAATTACGAGGTTGCTCAAGGTCGGCTTGGCTGGAGCCCAGGGGAAGAGGAGTCCCAGGGGGGGGCGTCGTATCTGACCCGGGGGGGGGTCGCTACCCCCCCCCCCTCCCGGCGGGGGAGGGATCAAAGGGAAGGGGCTTCCCTTCGACTCAATTACGAGGTTGCTCAAGGTCGGCTTGGCTGGAGCCCAGGGGAAGAGGAGTCCCAGGGGGGGGCGTCGTATCTGACCCGGGGGGGGGGGTCGCTACCCCCCCCCCCCCTCCCGGCGGGGGAGGGATCAAAGGGAAGGGGCTTCCCTTCGACTCAATTACGACGTTGCTCAAGGTCGGCTTGGCTGGAGCCCAGGGGAAGAGGAGTCCCAGGGAAAGGGAAGGACAGAGACGACGAGTACAAAGAATAACGGAGATGACGGCTCGAACGGAGAAGCCCCTCACACACGCCGACAGGGTCGGCGGATTTTTGCTTCTTGGTGGCCTCTTGGGGCGCTCTTGGGGCGTCTTGGAGTCCTCTTGGGCTTCCTTGAGGTAATTTTGGACGTCTTGGAGCGATCGTTCCGCAACTCAGGGCCTCTTGGACCGTCTTGGGGGCCTCCTGGGCCGTCGCGGAAGCTCCAGGGACCCCCTGTAATAGGGGCGATCGCCGGACACCGCGTTCAGCTGCATGCTGATGCCTTCTCGCATTACTCGGAGGACGCAAGAAGGAGGAGAGGAGGAGAGAGAGAGGAGGAGGGGGGGAGGAGGGGAGAGGAGGAGGAGGAGGAGGAGGAGGAGGAGGAGGGAGGAGGAGGAGGAGGAGGTAGGAGATGAGGAGGAGGAAGAGGAGGAGGAGGAGGAGGAGGAGGAGGAGGAAGAGGAGGATGCGAGGCAGTTTCTTTTGAAAGAGGGACTAACGCCGGAATGGCAGACCCATAGGGTGCCAGTCTTTCCAGGAGGCGCTCTTTGTGGTAGGAAGGTCTGCGGGGAACTGTGGGGAGGGGGCGGGCTCGGGGGGCTGTATTGCAGCATCGTTGATGCATCTCGGGGTAACTCAGGTCCTCTTCCTCCTCCTGCTCCTCCTCCTCCCACGAAAAGGGGAACAAAAGGAAAATAATTCGGCAAGCGCGATCAGAGAACGAGCGGCCAACAACACATAGCCGATCGCGACAGCGGCGGGAGCGATCCATCGCATCAACCGGGATCACGGTGCAACGGACAACGGATTCGTGGCGCGCCTTCTTCTCCATTCCTTGCCCTTGCAGATATCTCTTCCCTGTTGCACCCCGAGGCTGGTCGAAAGGGCGGGCCGGGCGTTTCGCCAGGGACTTCTTACCAGTCTTTAAATTTGAAATTTGAGATTTGCAACAGTTTCACGGATGGAGGGTGGCCTGCTTTCAAGATGTGGTTCTCGCCCAAGCGCCGCGCACATTCGTCATAAACAGTTGCAAGAGTTTCACGGATGGAGGGCGGTCCGCGTTCAGAATGTGGCGCTCGTCTTAGCGCCCCGCACATTCGTCTGACGAGTTTGCATGAGTTTTATGGATGGAGGGCGGTTCCTCTTCGAACTTTGGTTCTCGCTTTGGCGCCGCGCACATTCGTCTTCAGAGTTTGCAGGAGTTTCACGGATGGAGGGCAGTTCTTTTTCAACACTTGGCTCTCGCCTGAGCGCCGTGCATATTCGCCTTGAACGTGTGCATGAGTTTCACTGATGGAGGGCGGTTTCTTTTCAAACTGTAGCTCTCGCTTTACCGCCGCGCACATTCGTTTCAAGAGTTCGTCGGAGTTTCAAACATTTTCATGATTAACGTCACAGAAGTGGTGTTTTTGCACGGTGTCGGCATGTCAGGGCGCGGCAATCACGTTGATTCGCGGTGTTAAAGTCCCAGGCATGGTGTTCTGGATCGACTCAGGATCGTCAATGTGCAATCATATCGGTGATTCGCGGCGTGGAACTCCCAATAATGGTGTTTGGTACAAGTCTGGATTTTCAAACGGTTGTTTTTAGATAGGCATTTTTTTCAGTGAAGATGAATCCGTGTAGGAGCCTATGAAGAGGGAACTTAGAGGGAGGGTGTATTGCGATATCGTTGATGAGTCTTGGGTTTGCACTCCTCCTCCTCCTCCTTCTCCCCCTCCTCCTCCTCCTCCTCCTCCTCCTCCTCCTCCTCCTCCTTCCCTCTCCTGCCCACTCTCTTCCCGTAGCCATTTTGGCTCCATCCATTTTGACTCGATACCCTTTTGACTCGGGTCGCGCGCGTCCTCGGCTCCCGCGCGCGATGGTGTCTACGATGCGTCCCCTCCTGCTGGCCGCCGCGTGCTGCAAGGCCGCGGGCGTGAGCCTGGTCAAGCCGATGACCTTCGGGAAGAAGGCGCCGCGCCACTCGCCGAGGGCGCTGGTGGCGACGATGGTCATGCCGGACGACGAGATCCCGGTGGACCTCATGATGGATCTCGGGCGGGTGATAATGGGGGGTGCCCGAAGTGGGGAGGAAATCGGTCCCTTAGGGGCCCTTTTCTCCACCTCCTATTTGCCAGGTCACCCGCCATTACCACCCGCCCGAGGAGCACCACCTGCGCATGATCAGCGGCAACAGGAGCGTCCTGGAGGGGGTCATCATCGACAACCGCCCGCCCTGGTCGGAGAGGGCGGCCCTGATGGGCGCGGGGAAGATCCCCAGCACGCAGGATCCCCTGCTCTCGCGCTACCGGCGCTCCCAGGGCACCACGGGAAGCGTTCAGGTGAAAGACGTGGACTATGCGAGGATGAGCGCCCTCATGACCCGCTTCTTCGGCACCGCCGACCTGCGGTTGAGCAGCAACATGTTGAGGCTGGCTGCCGATGCGCCTTCGAACATCTCGAAGCTCGACGAGAAGGGCAGGGCCGCACGCCTGCTGGGCATGCTGAACTTCCTGGAGTCGTGCGCGGACGCGGACGCGGAGGTCGACATGTGCATCTTCCTTGACTCGACGACCTTCCTGTACCGCGAGAACCAGACGGGGCTCGTCGAGGTGGCGGCGAAGCTGTTCCAGCAGGACCCGATGGCCGTGGTGCTGCAGCCGCCGGACATGTGCACGAGCTCGCGCGCCTCGGCGAAGGGCGTCTGCAAAGTGGGGAACTCGACGACGATCAAGCACGGTTTCTTCGTGGTCAACCGCGACCGCTTCGAGGGCTTCGCGCCCATGCCCGTGGAGAACGCGGGACTGGGGAGTGTCTTCGAGGACATCTTCGCCGAGGGGCTGACGAAGGGCGACCACGAGGGTGCGGTGAAGCAGATCCGGTGCGGTGGCTCCTTCTTCGTTCACCCATTCGACCGCAGTCTGGGGCCTTGGGCCTGCCCGCACAAGAACCAGCTCGAGCTTCCTGCGCACGCCCGAGACACACTCGGCAGCCGCGGCGCCAGCCGCGCCCGGATGTCGGAGGGCCACTTCGACGAGGACTACTCGCGCTTCAAGGAGAAGGCCCACGGCGCCGCCGCGCTCCAGTCCCTGATCGACCGCATCGAGGCCGGCAAGCTCCCCGAGGCCAAGTCCCCGGAGAGCGTCACCAACCGGTGCTCCAACATGTGCCCCTCGAGGGAGCGCATCAGCCAGGGCCTCGCGTGGTGAGCAGGGCGCGCCCCCCCCTGGACGAGCGCGTTCTTGGCCCCCTCCTTCCCGGGCAGCCGCCCGCCTCGTGTTGGTCTTTTTGTGGGGGAGAGCACGGCCTCGCTCTCCTCTCTCTGGCAAGCCGCTGGTCCGCAGTCGTTGTGGCTCCGCGGGCGTCCTGTGGTAAATCCTGGGGCGCCGGGCGGCGCTCGACCGGGCCACGGCCCACCCACACCACGGCAGCTCCTTTCGTAGACCTTTGGTGGAAAAGGTGGTTTGCTCTCGGGCTGCTGTGCTTCATCTTGAGGGGGAGCACAGCCTCTCGGCGGCGAGCGAGGGGGGAAGCGAGAAGGAGAAGGCCCTCTCAGAAGGCAGCGGAGCCTCTCAGAAGCCCTCCGGCCTTCGAGAAGCTTTGTGTGTCTTCGGGGAAGGCTTGTAACACTTCTCAGAAGGCCAGAGGCCTTCCCAGCCTTTGAGAAGGCCTGCCCCTTCTCACTTCCCCCCCGCGCTCGCCGCCAATCTTCGCTTCTCTCCCCCTCCTCTCGCTCCAAAGTTGTTTGATCTCGGGCAGTTGTGCGTTCATTTCGAGGGGAGGCCAGCATCTCCCTTGCGAGGGCCGTGTGTCCGCGATTGGGCCAGGGCCGCAGCCCGTGGACGCGCCCCGGGGCCTTCGATTCACGCGCGCGGACGGGCAGCGCGCTCCAGCTGGTCTCACCCTCCTCCCGCCCTCGTCGCCTCCCGCTCCCCTCTCCCTCCTCGCTCGGCCGCGCGCCGATGGGGGTAGGGAGAAGGTGGACGGCTTCTTAGAAGCACCCCTGCGCCTTAGGGGGCGCGGGCCTTATCTATGGATGGAAGGCCAGCGCCTTCTAAGAGGCAGCCTCCTTCGAAGATGCCTTACTCCCTCCCCCTACCCCCTGTGGGCGCCGCCAATCAGAGGAGCCTCAGAGGCCACGAGAGACGCGCTCTAGGATTTCTTCAGGATCTCCAGGCTTCCCCGGGCCCCCCCCTTGCCTCCCCACGGTGGGTCGCAGCAGCGAGGGCCGCCAGGTGCTCTCTCTGGAGATCCTGGGCCCTATCCCGAGCCAGTCTTGAGTCGTGCCTGTCCCTCTACAGGGGGAATACTCAAAAATAATTGTAAATAGTCTCGACTACTTTTGATTTTGACCCTCTTTGATTTTTTCTCGACAGTTTCTGTTTTTTCGAAAAAAATTCGCCTGTAGGAGGACATGCCCGACCTGAAGCCAGCCTTACCGTGGGATTCTTTCCCCGTCCCGTCCGCGGCCGCTCCCGCCTCTCCCCCGCTCCGCCCTGCTGTCGCCGCCCCCGCCGCCGCCTCCCTCCTCGGGCGGCCCCGCCCCCCCCCACCCGGAGGCCTCGGGGCGCCGCGTGGCCGAGGCGCCGGGGACGCATCCGAAAGGGCTTCCAGGCAGTCCAAGAGAGCCCCAGAACGGCACAACAGCGGTCCAAGATGGCCCTGAGAGAGCCCCATGGCGGCCCAAGATGGCCCCAAGACACCGTCCGAAGCATTCCAAATCGTGACCTGGTCGTTCAGGGAGACCGCGGTTGGAGGCAGGGTGGCCCGAGGAAGCTCCCAGAAGCCCCCAGAACACGCCCAGGAAGCCTCCAGAAGGCCTCTAGAAAGCTTGAAAAACGTTTAGGAGGCCCCCAGAGGCTCTCCAAGGAGGAGCCTCCGCAAAAAGAGCTGAGGAGCATGGGAGAATGCGCAGGGTACGGCGAGAATGAGTAAAACTGAACATGGAGGAAGGATAACGCATAACATTATTATAACGGCGATGCTGGGAAAAGCAGCAAGGAGTTATCGCTAAATTGTCGGCTTGACCTTCCTGCCATTCCGCCTTACCAAACTTCAAGGACCAAGGTGCATGGCGCGAAGCGCCACTGCAGTCTTATGTATATATATATATATATATATCTAATTATCTTGATTATATCTATTTTCTTATATGCAAGCCCGGGAGTGGGACCCCCCCCAAAACCAGACCCCCAGGATCCAGACGGCCCAAGAGACCCCCAAGAGAGCTTCAAGACGGCCTGGATGGCCCCAAGATTGTCCAAAGAAGCTCCAAATTGGCCAAAAAGAAGCCCAATAGGCCCTCACAAGGCCTCCGAGAGAAGCCCAAGAAAGCCATGGGGGGCCCCCGAAAAGGCCATATCAGGCCACCAGGAGGGCCCACGCAGCCCAGTAAGATCCCTATAGGGACCGAGCTCCCCAACACGGCCCAACATGGCCCCAGGACGGCTCGAGAGGGCCTGACCCGAATTCCAGGTTCACAACCACATTTCCAGGAAACTTGTTGCGAACCCAGGATTCGGTGCATTCCCCAATAATTACTTATTTTCGCGTGCCCCGTTGTGACCCTTGCAACAAGACATCTTCGGCTTGGCATTGCTTTGTGTTTTGCGGCATTGCTTGACATTGCGTCGGTTTGCTTGGTATTCATTCGCATGACTTGCCATTCCTTCGCATTGCGCACCGGGGCACCTGAGCCACGAGCCGGCCCATGTGCGGGCTTACGAAGGCCGTTTGCGGTCATTCACTGCCAGACATCTCCGCAAGCGTGTACGTACACATGAACCCCCCCGACGGCGGCATCTCTTGTCCTCCTGCTCCTCCTCTGGGTCCTCTTCCTCCTCCTCTCTCTGCCGCTTCACCACCCGTCCTCCCCCACATCTGCTTCCCTCTCCTCGCTCCCCGAGATTCCCTCCCTCCTATCCTTCGCCCTCCACCCGGCGCGTTTCGGGAGTCCCCGGAGGCCCAGGAAGGGCCAGGGACCTCCCGAATTTGCGACGACTTCCGAAAACCACCGCAGGGAAGGGGCAAAATTTCCAAGGCCACAAGGGATGGCGCGAACTACCAAAATGTGCACAGCCTCGAGGACATATCAGTATCCTAACTATTTGTTTTTATATATATAGGCACACACACATATATATATATGTACATACATACACAGTCACACATATATATATATATATATCCATGGCTATACACACATATATATATATATATGTGTACGTACCTACTTACACCTGTATATACTTATCCATGTGTCTATACTATATGTGCCCACATCTCTGTCGACGTATCTATATAGTATATCGGTTTATCTATCGGTATATATCTGCCTATCTATCTATCTATCTATCGATCGATCGATCAATCTCTCTCTCTATACTCTCTCTATATATTTATCTGTCTACCTATACATATATATCTATCTATATATTTGTTTATCTATCTGTTTATCTATCTATTTATCAATCTATCTATCTATCTATCTATCTATCGAATATATCTATATGTCTATCTACGTAGTGCAGTCTGTCAGCGCGAACTATGTTGGGCAACATATGCGGTGCAATCTATATGCTGCTCCAGTGACGGGGCGGCGACGGCGACAAGAAACGCGGCGACCAACGACCAGGCCTAGACGACGGGTTGCGGCGAGGCGGCGATGGGGTCTGGGACGACAAGGAGGTCCCTGGGAAGTCGGGCAGAGCTCCGGGGACTCCGTATCGAACAAATCAAGGCATTAGAGGTCTGTGGAGGCTCCTTGGAAGCTCCCCGGAGGACCAGGCCGCCCAAACGGGGTT